GAGTGGTCCGTGTCTTAAACATAATAGAAATGAATCAATTCTAAGCAGGAAAGCAAATCAGTCTTATACACCCTTATCGTTTTCGTTCATCCGCTTACCGCGCATGCTCAACAGTGCACTGAAATGGATAATCCAGTCGATTCGCTCGTTAACGAGCAGTTCTTGAATTTGGCTGAAGTTCAATACATCAGCGTATCGATATGTCCCTATATTATGCATGCAATTTTAAAACAGCTATAAGGTATAGGTAATTGTTAAAGATAACCTTCCTGATAGATTTCATCTGTTGGCCGAACTATATCAGAAAGAATGACATGATCCACTCCATAACGTTGCCTATAAAAATTCATCGAGTAAGCAGATGTTTTGTTTCAGCTAACTCATACCACAATTGTTTCGCGAGTGGAATTCCAAGCTGGCCACAACCACCTAAACATAATCAAATCATAACACTTGGCTATATAAGTCGGAAGCCAATCGCACTGGTGAAGGAACATGTCCAACTGTCAAATCGTTTTATCAATGAAGCATACTATGCTATGGGCTATAGAGTATGATGATTCTGAATATGAGTATGAAAAGTATCAATTTGGCCTTCCAATATTGAGTTTTACGGAAATTTGGGCTTCTAACACTCAAACATTACTGAGCCTAATACTATTTTCAGTTCATCCATATTGTGTGCGGGGTGGGTGGGTGTGGGTGTGTTTTGCTTATATACACCCACACCCCACACCCTCAAGATAGTATGCATGGGCAGCTAAATTAGTGGAAGAAACTCTGAGTCAGGCCGGCCTTCTGTCAAGAGCTATAGCTAGTAATAATTGTAGAGAAAAAGCGGACCTTTTAAACTGTTCCCGGGCAGCACCCTATACCGCAAGGCTAGGAATGTACCAGTACCAGTATTATACTGGTCTAGTAAATACTGGTCACCAGTATACTGGTCTTCTTTTTCATAAATAGTTATTGTTTAACCAAGTAATTTCCTCTACCATCATTTTTTTGTGTATATTTGAGTAAAAAATTTTAGTTTTTTCAAACGTTATGTAACAGCATACAATCTTATTTTTTCAACTAGCTGATAACATAAAGTGAACGTTCTTCAGTCCTTCTTATCATTTTCATTTATGGATTCACCAGTATTGGTGAAATACTGGTACTACTGGTCCAATATTACTGGTCGACCAGTGTAGTGGTACTGGTGCATCCCTACGCAAGGCAGTCAAAAGGCAAGGGTATGCTTCTTCTTCTTCTGAGGGATCTGATCTGATTTGCTTGAATAGTTCAGATCAGATCAAAAGAGCTGTCCGAACATTTGAAGTAAACTAACTGTCGTGTACCTAATCACGATATTCCAAGAATATTTTGATATATAACTATCTGACAAGGTATAATAACAGCTGGTGTAGAGAAATTCATTGGTTAACATTGATTTTTCTCTTCTTTCTCTTAGTGTTTTAATATTGCCACGCTTGAAGCTTGTTTTCCATCGATTATTGGTCGTATTTTAAATCAGGATAAGATAGATTTTTCTACAGATTGAAACGTTTATGTGATGGTAAATAACGTAAGTAAAATATAGATTAGTTTGATGAGCTGTGAATCAAGTTTCAACAACGTATGAGATAGTATTTTTCGGCGGCTTACGCGAAATAGACGCACTTTTCAATAGCATCAATATTTTTTATAAGGCGTAGTCATAGGCTGTGCACCATAATAGCGAAGGATAGCAATAGCTAAACCTATTAGCGCATATTCAGATAGGTGTCAGATGAAATTTTATACACAATTTGCAGTTTAGTTCATATGGGAAAAAAATGAAAGAAAAAATCGTTGGAAAATAATATGAATTAATTACATACAAGCTTTGAAATCGAAAACTTTATATTGGTTTTGCTGTCAGTTTAAGAAATTTATTTCTATTCCTAGGAAGTTCGGCTTGCGCCACCTATGGCTGTAATATTCTTCCTGGATAAATGTGATTTGTAAAAGTAATTTTACGAAAAGAGTATGACAAGGTACGATTAAATACTTCTCAGAATCAGAAGCAAGTATGATAGGTAAAATTACCTTTAATTACTGTGTATAGTACTTTATAAGAAAAAGTACTTTTAAATCGTGTTTACTCAACCTAACACTGGTTCAATGTATAAGGTAGTCTTAACTGTATATGTTTGGATACAAATTTGATTAAGTGGTTTGTACAAGGGGGAAAAAGCGGATCCCCAAGATCCCGAATCCCATGAAATCCCATGGGGATCCAAGGGATCCAATAAAAATCCGGGGATCCCACGGGGATCCGAAAACCCCATGGGGATCCCAGGGATCCGATCAAAATCCAAGAAATCCACCGGGGATCCCAAAATAGTACAGCTATTTCGGAAGTGCTTTATATGGTTTTATGAAGCACAATGAAATTAAGAGTCGTTCTCATGCATAGAAAATATTATTTAATGTGTTCG